TGCAGAAAAGGCGAACATAGATAAATCCAATATGGTACAGCCAGGAGAGACATAAACATTAGAAATATAAATGAATTTGTGTTTTGACAAGTGTTTCGGGCGACATCTCACAGTGATGCAATCAATGAAGTCATTCGAGAATTTGAAACAAACTTTTTTAGAAATGGACCATTTTGAGTGAATAAAAGTTGCAACACCTCCAACACATTTTTCTTGGAACAAACACGGTCTTGTCGGAAAACATTAAAATTGTTTAGAGACACAATATTGTCATCATATGAGTCATGGAGCCAGGTTTCTTGTAGAGTGACAATACCAGTATTGTGGTAGATACCTGAAGACAACAGGGACTGAAAATCCAGAATTTTGTTAGGCAGGGACCGGCAGTTGGTACTAATGATAACTGGAACAGTGGTGTGATGTATGGGTGTAGATTTTAAGGCACGCTGCCAACCTCCATGGTGCTTTTTCTTGAGTTTATTGCAAATATGAAAGTTTTTGGGTTTAAAACGTTTTATAAAATCCCGGGAGTGGGTAATACGATTAGAATGCATAATTTGATTTGTAAACACCAAGAAAAGATGAGTAAACAGATGCAAAATGTACATGGAATATGGTAGCCCAAAAATATTCAAAAATGTTCAAACAGGCCGCCAAGGTGGAGGGGATAGACAGACAGGTCGTGAGGGTGGAAAACTGATTTGCTGTGAACAATCCATGTGTGCTACCCAGTTCTGTCACAATTCAACGACTATATCTGGGGCGAAATAAAAGTTGCCAGAGGTAAACCTACTTGTGGGTTGTGTGTACCAGCCTCCTTCATCCAGCAGGGAGCTTGATGATATGATCAGCAACATTTTTAATGTTACAGACAATTTTCCCTTCAGTTATAAGATCATCGGGGGTGATTTCAACATGCCGAAAATATCATGGTTTTCACTCCCAGGACCCTAGAGGTATGATAATCTCCTGAATATCATCGTCACAGGAGGGTGGACACAACACATAAATTCACCTAGAACTTATTTTCACGAAAAACGTAACACCATCTACAGTACATGTGGGACATGAATTTATGTGTAGTGGCCATAAAATTGTAGAGTATTCTTTTAACATCCTTCCTGAAACAAAACGCAGAGATGAAGCTGGTCAGACACCTATAAACTGTACAAGCATGCCAACTGGCACTTGCATCATCACCTAATTAGATGCCGTAATTAGGACTCGCAATTTTCGAGCGAGTCCTTAGAGGCAGTTCTTAACAATTTTCATCATAGCAATAACTCAATTTATGATGTCACTGCATCTGAGAAGATTCTTAGCTTCAAATTCCCCTAAAGCGATTTTATTCCGACATCGCTGAGGAGAAGTCTACGGAAGCACCCAATAAAATACTACAGATATCATTACTTACCATCAGTAACTGATGATATTTATTTATTTTTGATTACAGCTTGATTCCACACTGTATTTTTGGTACAAGTATGGAATTTTCAGCATGGATATCGGTAGCCCAAATTTTGCAGGCCGACCATAGATATCAGGTGTCCGTCGGCGGAGGATCGAACCCTGGACCATGTGCATGGTCGGTGAGAGTCCTAACCACATCTGTTTCACCAGAATTCAAGGGTTGAAAAATGTAATCCTCAGAAAGAGAATTGCGGGCCATTCAGCCACCGCATAAGCCAGGGGAAATAGCGAAAATTTTTAAAAGCAGGTCAAAAAATTCCGAAAGAGCCTATCCGAAAATGATATACTTAGGTGGCAACGCTTGCGAGAATACCGAGGTGATGTGTGAACTGTTTGGCAATCACTTTTCCGGACTACAAACCTTGAAGAACGATCGGATAGTGGACTTACCACTTAAAACAGACGAATGTCCAAGTGACGAACTTTTCACCATACACGAGATCGATAAATCTGTCTCAAATCTTAAGCTTAATAATAATATATTTCTTCCTGTTTATGCAGGAACATACCAATTGTACAGGCATGGATAAGTTATTATATAAATTACACAAAATTTGATGTATAATGGATTTACAGTTTGGTTGTTCTTTCTGACATCAAAGTCAGTCGGAACAGTCTGCCATAAAGTTTGTTTGTGTAGCACATAAAGAGATATAGAAATATTGTCTTCGCATTAACAAAAAACCCAGACATCACATGAATGTAATACAAATATCTGGGAAAAATAAAGCTTGAAGTCAATTCTCCCATATAACTTTGTTGTGAACAGCACCCTTGGCTGAAAGATTATTGATGTATTATGTTGAGATCAGTGATATATTTATTCCATTTTTCAGTAGTCTTATCGTAGTTTTATAACAGGAAAGAAATCTGATCGTGGATACGAAAACTAGATAAGGTCATGTTGGGTTGTTTTACTGCATCAAGTGGTGCCGAGGTCGACTCCAGAATTCTCCATTTGCTCCATTTGTGCCTGCATGGCGGACTGTATTCATAAGTTGAGTAAAATGTTGAAAAACTATTTGAAGACCAGTTGCTTCTTCATTTCAGATCATGAATACTCATTTACAGCATGTTCGCCAGCGTCTTCAAATGGTAGAATTGGATCGTTCCTGGAATTTGAGTGGTTATGAGGTAGACTGTTTGAAATTAATCCTCATTTCAGTTTAGATGCAGGGTTGTTCGACCTCGACCAGAAGATGAATAGGAGCAGCAAAATACCAGAAAGAGAAAGTATGTGAACATGAAAAGGACATTTATACATTATGCATTTATAAATGTTTATCTTAATTATACATTTTTCTATATTGTATTTGTTTTCACGTATTTATGCGAAGTCTTAGAGTTTATTTAATGTCATAATGTGTATTAATGAGTCTGAGCGTTTTAGTGTTCTAATGACTGATGCGTTTTAGAAATAAGTGATGGGTTCTGGTAGGGATAGTCATTTGGACAAAACAGTTTATATAGCAAGCGTTTGAAGGTTACAATGAGGGATAGGTCCTATTTCTAAGGGTAAACTAATCCTGTATGGGCGAAGTTTAAGAATAGCGTCCCAAAACCTTCAACGCTCAAATGACCTTGAACGCATGCTAGTCGTTGGCTAACGGTTCCTGTCATTATCATAGCTGAAATATCAACCCTATTCATCACCCTGTATGTTCCGTACTATGTCTTTATGCATCCATGCTGCTAGTTTATTTATAGTTTAAGATTGCTAAGGGTGTTGAAGTGCGTCTTTTAGGTGTTGTAGTAGATTAGTGCTTGATTCGTTCTAGGAGTAAATAGTTTATTAATATAATCAGTAGAGTGAAACAGTCTGTATAGAGAGCGTTTGAAGCTTGTAACCGAAGAGCAAGTTCTGACATCTAGGGGTAGGCTATTCCATATTTTAGAATACATGACTGTGAAGAAGTTTTCACGGAGTGTTGACCTAAAAGAATGAGTTGTCACTGTGGAAGTTTGGTTACGCAGATGGTAAGAACCTTCCTGTGCGAATTGTATGTCCCTGTTACCTGAGAATGATATTTTGTGAAGGACCTTAAAGAAGAATATTAGGTTTATAGTAAGTCGCCTTGTCCAAAGTGGGTCAAGTTTTAGGATCATGCACCGTGAGATGTAGTCTTTCTTACAATCGTAGCCAAGCAGTTTTGAGTAACACTATTAGTCCAGATGGTATGTCTTCCATTCTGCTGAAAAACGGTGGCAATGACATAAATTTACTTCAGCTCAAGTTATACTCTAACCAAGCGATGGCATATGCCCAGCCTACTGGAAGGAGTCTTATATTGTACCCGTCCATGAATACGGGGTTATAGATGATATCAACAACTGCCGCTCCATCAACATCACATCTATAGTTTCACGTGTAATGGAAAAGACAGCAAAAATTCAGATTACTCAGTGCTTACTCACCAGTGACCCAATATCTCCATCCCAATACGGTTTCTTAAGTAGAAGGTGCTGCAATGCTTGCCACTTGGATTATTTTGGCCACATTACACAATGCATTGACAATGCGCGTTCAGTAACAACATTATTTCTCGACACAAGTATAAAACTTAGGCACTGTGGTAGAGTATAACTCCATTATGGATAAGATTTTATTTCAATAAATCACACAGTGTTGTACAGTTATATTAGCTATGATCTGACTCTGATGGACTTCCGGAAGATGTGCCTGCTCGCTTAATTGATTCTTTCGTTTGTTTAGGTGCAGAAACTCAACATGAAAGGGTTAGTGCTGGTTTAAAACCATCTATCTTTAATCAGTGAATATGAAAACTAAAGGAGCGATCGTTCATGTGTACATGACAGTGAAAACATGTCATAAGTATGTACGTTAGATAATAACATGTGACAGCTGATAACGAAGTTAAGTATCATAACCAAGTCAAGATCCTTCAAAAGTTGACTTTTAAGAAGCAAGCGGATACAAGGAATACTATGAAATTTCATTCCAAATCAAGTCATACCAGCACTTTTGAACTTGGTGAGGGTAGATACTTTGTTCTACTTACTCTCTACGTACTTTTTCTGTAAATCTCCACTGTTAAGTAGGACTACGGCTTTTAAGATTGAACTTTAGGGTCCAGGGTTAAGGCTAAGTCTAGGGTAAGAGTTGGGATTAGGAGTTGTGGGTATGGTTACAGTTGGGAGTAGGGTGAATACCAGTTTCAGAAATATCAACGGCCCACAATGTACCATGACTTACAGCAACTTGGCTGTATGGATATACAGCTCATGGTACGACTTCTCCGTACCTAATATGATCATTGGCTTGTAAAGATGCTTACAACACATAACCTACAGTTATACATTGTAGTATCATGTTCGCAATATTTTTAGATACTTTTTCAACGATTATGCTACTTTTTTGTTTATGAGTTCTGATTAGTTGCTTTAACTTTACCAAACTAACTTCAAAGCCTAAAAGTGTAAATATTTCAAGTTATCCTTCAATGGAGTTGATTAGACTTTGCATAAGACTTTAAGCGTTACGTGTCAACGTATGTTTCTGCTTAGGCCGCGTTGTTTGACGTGAAGGACACTTTAGGTCAGCAGTGGTTTATCGCTTATATACTTATATACAAGTAGGCGTGAGTTATCCGATTTTCTTGTGATGGGATGGATAGAGTATTCTCTTTAAAACACCAAATAGGTTCCTTTATTTCCAAACTAACAGATTTTCCCTGAATAAAATGGTCGTCCCAATTAGGGTTATTTCAGGGGTACTTATTGCGTTCCTTCGAAATTTCCCTTATTGTATTTCAGTTTGGACACTTTCGGATATTGTGACTGAAGCTTTTTGCTTGGTGATACACATCGATCTCACTGAAAACTGGGCTATTTCCACCAAAATTACCTGAATTTAACATATAAGTGTGAAGTACAGTGCTAAATTAATTAAAATCAAATGTAAACCTCCGTATTTTCTTTTGGAACATTCCTGTTGACTCTGATCCAAATATATTCTCTGTTGTGCATAAAATAAACAATTTTTGACTTTAAAATCTAGTTTAAATTTTTAAAGGCAATGGAGGACGGGTAAAGATTCGTCATCCTACTTGATGTGTTCGCCAATTTTTATATCGATATAGTTATTCCCCTGTTAATTGCAGTGTAGCCCTATTGAAACAAGTTTGTCTTATGAATCTCAGGTTAGTAGTGGGAACATAAGACGTCATTAATATGAAGAATAGTTTCGTAACTTTATGCATTTCATGCTGAATGCTCTCCCGCCAGCTATATAGTCTAGTTGGGCTAGTTAGCTAATTGAAGGCTACTCTGCGAGTTCACATTGCATTCCGCGTATAATGATAGTCACTAAATCATGTTAATATGATGTATCCATTCCACAGAGAAACTGCTGTCACTTTAATAATACGTGTTTCTTCAAAGTGAATTAAAAGTTAACATTGTTTCAAAATGTCTGATTTTAGTTCTCATCTCTCTCTTTTTAAAACTTTAAATATTGTTTGATTGCTCTTAACTATGTTACAATGTACGTTCACTTTATTTCTAACCGCACGTCTTCTCTCTACTTCCTTTCCGGCTCTTATTTTATGGTAGCAAAATATATTCACCAGCGCATACTTTTGTCCATACTTCCTCAATAAGCAGTATACTCTTAGTCTGCATGAAAGTGTAAAGTTAACAAAAAATCACACATCAGTGTGAGACAGATGTTTAGCAATTTCATATTCAATGGGACTACTTACTATCGTTCGTGCGAAGCTATTTTCAAGATGGCGTTACAAGTTATGTATTTTAATGTACTTGGTTATTGGAGTACTCTTCGTAAATCTGTATTTGGTGAATTTTTCGAGCCGAGTTGTATACATCCATCCTGATGAATTGATTGATATGGAACACTGTCGCCTATCGGAAAAGCAAGGTATTTTTACAATATAGACTTCAAATATTTGTAGTTTGTTGCCCTAGTACGGATTATCTGGATATGTCGAAATTTGACTCTGTCGATTTTAAGAACTATCTGGAGATAATTAATACCACGAAACAGGTTTGTGAGGGAAGCTGGAAACCGAGATGTTCTTCCTCACAAAAGATAGCTGTCATTATACCTTACAGGGACAGAGAAAAGCATTTAAAATTATTACTACCCAGAATTCACGCTCTTTTGCTGAGACAAAACATGCCATATTATGTCTTTGTAATTGAACAAGTAAGTATTGTGGTTTTTTATTCATGTGAATGTAAGGATATATATACATATTCTCTTCATTGGCTTATTAAAGCAGAACTATTCAGAAGAGTGCCTCAATTAAAGTTGTCACACTTCGGATTGGTATATATAAAATTATAGAAAGAAAAGTGAAACTAAAATTCTCACATTCGTGCTGAGGTTTCGCCAAAAATTAGTTCACTGAAGTCTATTTAACTTCCGCGATGAGCGAATTGGCTGGTGAATCCAGCCATTTTTCTCCCCATCCTCACACTAGGAATGTTCTTAGAACCGGTTCTACTGCATCTTCGTATGTTGAAAAGGAAAGAATCTTATGATTTATTATTTGATTGGCCTTAAAGCATTGACTAAATGCGTATTAGTAAATAACTTGTATTCTATTGGATCCACTCTGTGAAGTTTATTCTCATTCCTTTGATTATTAGACACTTGTGTGCTCATCGATCTGTTTCTGTTGTTCAGAATAAATCATAATTTATGCCTCTATCACTAAGTTAATTACTGTCTTTTTTAAAATTTATGCTTCGAAATAATCAGTTACCATGATAAAGTATGTAATTTATTTTATGAAGTTGGTGAAATTAAAAAGTCACCAATTATCTACGTCACACATCAAATCGTTAAAGAGCATTACATTCGAGAATATTAAACAAATAAGAATATTGCTTGTTTGGCGACTTTGATCTATTTCTTGAGACTGAAATCTCCCTGTTTTCCCTGTTAGCTAACGTGTATTTTACTTCTCCAAGTACTTGTAAAGTCTTATCGTAATGAATAACATTTATGTTTAGTAGTCAAATCATATTGTCTTATGCATAATTCAATATTTCGTCACGAAAAATGCTTTTACAGCCTTACTGTACCGATAGATTTAGAACCTTTTTCCAGTGCATTTTTATCAGATCAAGTCTGTGATTCTTGAAAACACACAAGCCTAAAATGTAACACCATATTAGAATATTGCTGTTTCAGTAGGTGCACTCGTGCAGAAAGATGACTTGGGAGTTCCCTTCAGTCAGTTATTATCAATATAGAAGGTAGTGTTATTAGTTCACTTTGTCAGAACTCGTATTTACATCACGCGCAAATAGTAAGGGAAACGGAGACAAAGAAATCAAAATAGGGTTATGGAATTTTGTAAAATGTTGTAAGAACACATGCAAGAAGACGCTGTGATTCCTGACTGACTGATTTTTAACGCATAACTTTTCAAAAAATTGCAGCATTTCAAGTTGCTACTTGTCAAATGCACATAAATGTGAAGAAAAACACACTGTAACGAACTGAAATATGCAAGAAGAAAAAGTACTTGAAGAATAATGGCAATTTAACGACTTTGAAAGTTGATTGAGGGTGAATGCATCTACCCTATGGGAGACGATTTTGACCCATTTCACCAATATTCTCCAACCCAATCGCGATTAAGATGGAAAAAAGGAGATTAATACGTCTGCTTTACTGAAATAAATTTTTACTCATATCATATTCTCTAGTTTAGACAATGTAAATTCCTCAAACTAATAATCAGTAACTCCATGAATCGAATCCGTGGCATTTTTATGACTCATCTACTCTTCTTTTTAATCTGACCCACTACTGTCTTTATTTTTGTTTTGTTTTTTAATAAGGCAGGGAAAACACCTTTCAACCGTGGTCTGCTTCTTAATGTTGGGGTTTTACATGCGTTGGATATTGATCCGAGTATAAATTGTTTCATCTTTCATGATGTTGATCTTTTGCCTGAAAAAAGTGAAAATCTTTACATCTGTGATACAGAATTACGACACTTATCGCCTGCTATTGATGACTTCCGGTATCATCCACCATTCATCAACTATGCAGGTGGAGTCGCTGCAATGACGAAAAAGAACATACTAAAGGTAAGAAAAAAAAGACTTTCTGGCTTTTAATAGTTACTTTTGTATTACACACTGTTTAAACACAACCTTTATAAAATGTGACTAGACAAAGTGTTTAGAAGCGAAGTTTTCTTATAGACTTATATAACTAGTCTGTTCATAAAATGTTGAGTAATAAATAAGAAATGGATTGCCGCATCTATTGTGAATTATTTTTATTCTGTAATGGTAGACTGCATAGCTGATTGAGGTTATCCTCTCGAGATTAGATCCAGCATAATAGTTCGCGTAATATTCCACTGTAATTTGTTTTATCCTCCTCAAGTGAAAAAAATCAAAGGAAATTAGTCACTCGGAAGTGAAAAAGATGTAACTTAATGTGCAGTGAATATCATGATTTATATGTGAATGTTGCTCACTAGTAGCATAACTTTACAGGATAAGTTTATTCGATTGTTTGTCTGTCTGTCTGGATTCAACATAGAACTTGGCACCAAAGTGCACCAGTTCGAGTTGCCACATTCCAAGTAGCACACAAATGTAGACAAGAAGATGAGTGGAGAGAATTAATAGAGTTTCACAAGTATAAGAGTGAAACAGAATGGGTAATGGTAGAAAGAAATATGAAAGATTACAGAGACTGAATACATCTGCGCCATTGACAACGATTTTGAGCCATGTCACCTATTGTCTCCAGCCATTGATTCCTAGAGTCCCGAGGGACCCAACCCGGAAGTCTGCATCTCTTTACCTGATTCAGTTTAACTGTCAAGGACTTCATGGATTGATGGATGCCATGTTTTGTTTGGCCACCACTGACTCTTTTCCAACCTGCACCTATATCAGCTAGTAATCCCCGTCGGGGGAGGCGATGGTTAAGCATGCGCAGCACGTGACCAAGCCATCTCAGTCTGTGTAGCTTTATAGCCTCATCGATTGATTTTCCCTCATTGCCCAACTCTCTACACCTAAGGTCAACATTACTTACCTTATTATACCACCTAACGAGATAAAGAGATCGTAGACATCTATGATCGAAAGCAGTCAACCTTTTTATGTCTTCAACTCGTGTTGGCCATGTTTCAGAGCCATAGAGAAGGACGGAGCGAACTGCTGAGCAGTACACACGTCCCTTGGTTGATAGCCAGATGTCACGCCTATGCCAGAGATGGTGTAAGTCAGCGAAAGCAGCTCGAGCTTTTGGGATCCGTGCTGAGATTTCGTCGCCAATCAGTCCGTTGGTGCTGATACAACTTCGATTATGAGAAACAGAAGTCGTTTTTTCTGGCGTCATCTGTAAGTAAATAATCATAGTGTATCACTGTGGATTGTTTCAAGTAAAATTGTTCTGTTATGGAATAAATGCTCTATCAAAGTGCGCAAATTTTACTTCCAAGTTAATTTTTATTTGCATTAGAAGTGCAAACAAACAGATTTTCCATTTGGTAATAGAAGACATCAGCAAGTGATGTGATGATAATATAGTTGTACTAGCTTACATAGTTCTTAAGGTACTGCGATCATATTACACTGTTTGCTTCATGATTTCTGTAAAATTTATTACTATAGCAGATGATGCTAAACAATGCATGCCTTATCTCCTTCTGAATTAATACAGTTTAACTTATTTTTAAACTGGTTGTCTTTTAAGGTAATTGTTTTTCTATTCTGTTCTATTCAACCGCTTATATATTTGCCACAGCAGTTCGCTGTGTCCTCCTTTATGACTATGAGCGAGACATAGCTATTGTAAGTGGAAGAGATGAAAAGGCTAGCTATCTTTGATCATAGGTGCCTGTGTTCTGTCTCCAGTGTTAGGTGGTATAGTAGGGTAAGCAATACTAAGGTTAGACGTCGAGTGCTAGGTAAGAAGGAGAAATCAATTGATGATGTTGTGAAGTTACATGGTTAGGACATGTGTTACGCATGCCCAGTCATCGACGGTCAGTGTTAGCTGACATAGGTTGGATGAAGTTGGAAAAGAGCTGCTAATGGTGGTCAAACCAGAACATGGCTTCATTAGTCAGTGAAATCCAAAACAGTCAGTTTAAGCTAGCCACATAGGGAGGTGTAGACGGCTTGGTTAGTTGGGGTCCTCTTGATATTAGAGAAAAGAGAAAAAGAAGTTCAGCAAAGATATCTTTTCGGCAATTTCATTCTCAAAAGCTGTACATTCGCATATATATATATATATATATATATATATATATATATATATATATAAGTTTATACAGATACTATTGTTATTTGATTCTATGTAGCAACGAAGGTGGTTAAAGGTCGTGATAATTTGAAAGTTTGAAGGTATGAATGTAGATTACAAGGGTCCTAGAGACAAAATTACATAGGATTAGAAGTCAGTTACAATGTTTATGTAAAACAAGTTGTTTTTTTATTGATATTTTGATAACTGGAAAAATAGTTTGATATGAAAGTTCAAGGGTGTCAATATGGGTTACAAAAAGCTTGTAAGCAAAATTATACAGGATTAGAAATTAGTTTTTCTTAACAACTATGGGTGCGAATGGGATAGGCATGGGAACAAATTGAAAGAATAACATTTTGAAATTGAAAATGAAAGAGAAGAAAAAAGGAGAGGAAAGTGAAGGGGATGAAAAATCGAGACATAAAGACACAAACCGAACTAGTTATATAGTGAATATTGAGGTTGAACCAGTTTCTTGTGGACATACAGCTCCGGTTTTTTATGCATATGTCCAGGACTTCTGCAGTACAACGAAGTCGGAAACACTGCCTCTGGCAGACCATTATTTACTTTGTAAATGATGAGTCAGTTGAGATGTTGTGACAGGTGTTGACGACGTGTTCAGCTATAACGTTCCTGATTGAACCAGTGCCTCCTCTTTGCAGCCAAGGTGAGTGGTGTTCTCGAACACGTTTTGGTAGGATCCACATAGAACGACCTATGAGCAGGTAAACTGGTATATCTAGATTGAAGTGGTCATATGCGGAAGTCAGTCTTTCACATTGCTTCGAAGCAGCGGGTGGCTAGAGAATGTCATTCTTAGAGTCACTGCAGCAAAGGTCTTCTTCAAGGGACTGGATATTCTCTTTTTAAGGGTATCTGCTGCTAGGTCTCCCTTGAATTCCAGATTCAAATATAATGTTTTCTTTTGCAATGAAGTTCATTCTTTCCTTTTTTGGCTTTGGTTTCATGTTCTTCTCGTTGGTTATCCACTTTGAGCCAGGATGTTTTTGAGAAATAGAAGCTCTTCTTCTAAGCATTCACCACTAGAAATTCTTCTGGGCCAGCAAGATGATGAGAGCCCTTTTTCCACTGATGGGTATCCAACTGCAGAGGTTTGTGAGTTGGCTATTGCATGATGGCTTTTTTTGCATAGATGTTTTCAGAGTTCCATCAATTCTTCTTGTCAATTTGACGTCCATACATGGAATCTTTGATTCATTTTCAACTTCCATTCTGAATTGGTGATATATCTGAAAATCATTCTAAGTGGCGCAGATACATTTACTCTTTGTGATTTCTCATATTCAATAAAACTGTATTGTTCTTCCATTTCACTATTCTTTCCCCTCACACTTCTGTTTATTATCTCTCTCTCTTTTAAATCTCCCTTTACTTTGTCCTCTTGATTTGTGTGTTACATGGAGGGAGGGTGGCAAGTTGAACTGGTGCACATCTATGAAACCAGTCAGTTCGTCCGTCAGTCAAAATGAAAAGAGGTAGGCATTTAAAAAGTGTTTACTTCAATGTATTAATTTCAGAAAGAGAAAGGCGGTCATTTGTATCTTGAATCATTGAGTCACATGATCTCTTGTATTTCACTCAGGTAGCCAATATTAATGTGACAAACGAAAGCCGCCTTAGCTAGTCCAACCAATAGGGTTTTTTCGTCAATTTTACATGAAATGATTCTTATTCATATAGTAAAACTTCATAATGTCATCACTGATCCTTTTTTCTATTGGAAAACGTATAGATAAATGGATTTCCAACACGTCATTGGGGTTGGGGCAGTGAAGATGATGAGTTTTCAGCGCGTGGTTTAATCTATAATTTAAAGTTAACTAGACCTCCGGAATCTATTGGACGTTATAAAGCACCAAGACATAAAAAAGGATCTATGTCTATTGGACATCAAAGTGCATTTTTACAATTTCGTAGTTATTTACATGATGGTTTTACCCTGTTAACAGAGAAATTTTATCATGATTGGAAGTTAGAATCATTACGTCGTCAAACTAAAAAGTATACATTGAATAAATCAGAGAAGTTTAAAATTCCTGCCTTTTTAAATAAATGTACGCGCCAAAATATTCTATCCCATTTAAATATTAATATGAATTCAGTAGAAATTGTACATAACCTTAGTGCATTATCTTCTTCTAATTTTGAATTACTCAATCAATTTGCTCGTGATGATTTATTTATTCACTTTATATTTGATCCAGTTGATTTTTATATTCAAAGTAAGTCGTTGTTAAAACCGAAAGGTAATTATACAGCTGAATCGTTATGGTGGTTCCTTCACTTTTATGGATGGATATAAGGTGTATCTTTATTCATTTATTCATTCATTCATCTGTCTTTTTGAAGATTAAAAGATCAATTTCGTCTTGATACTTCGTGTACAGTAACTTCAATACTCACCTTCTTTCCTATTCTTTATTCTTATGTACTTTGTAATTATATTCTAATGTGATCGATTTTGTATATTTATCTCCATACTAGCTAACACCCAGTTGGGGTGGCGGTGCTATGCAGTATGGGAATATACTCTTTCGGAGATTTAAGTTGACGAAATGAACGCCTGCTATTATTACACTTTTCTCTTCAAGCCATGTATTCAACTGAAATCCTGCCTCTGTACACAATATGTTTATATAATTTGTAAAGGAATTACTTATTTTGGTTATTGTTCTTCTTGGCAGTTATTACTATTATTATTATTATTCTTTTAGGTTCCGAGTGGAACCTACAGTGGGCTTCAAACTCGCTTCTTCATTTGTTTTGAATTAGCCACATGATTGCCTATGCGCTTTCGTTTCCGCCTCACACCATCTCCTCCAGTGTGTCACTCTCAGAAACACACCCAACTTGTCGTTTTACATTCGGGTTTCGCTAGGGGAAGTGGTGTGCAATATCACTAAACAGTTTCCTCATTGTGTATCCGATCAATCTGCATTTTCGTTGGTATATTTATTGAGCAATGGATTCATGGTTGGTTCGTTGACTGACCATCTGATCTTCAGTGTTGAGCCAGAGAAGTTGGCATCTGTTGATAAAAGTCTAGAGCCTGTTCTAGATGCTCTGTTCCTGACATCGAGTCTCAAAATCAACAGTAAGTGTCTTTTTCAATTGACGTCATGATTAATCTGATCATTTCACTTTTTTTCCACACCATTCTTGGATAAAAGTCTCAGTGGGAACTGCGTCAGTCACTAGGATACAGGTACATTTAGCTGACATGCTGTATGTAGAATGAAATATGTGTCCTCGATTCCACTGTTAACTGTTATCAACCGGGTGATACTTATAGATTATTTTAAGAAGGCACACGTTAAATGATCATGTGTAGGGGATGTATTGGCAGAATGCTCACCAACTATGCCTTACGTGTTCCAGGACTCGATTCTCTGTCAATGCACTCTTGAACCTCGGTTAGGCGGTGGTAACCCCAGTAGAGACGGAGGGTTGGGCCTGAGGCTAACAGCTCTACACCGCAAAAATAAGACCGATGTTACTGAAATTTCAAATTATTTTATTTTATTTAAACACAAAAAACGGCACAATATAGCACCAGGAAAATGCCCCACACAATATTAATAAAACAAAACGGGTTAAAATGAAAAATATGGGTAGATAACGGATAAAGTACTTCATCTGGAAGGAAAACAGTCACAGTTAACAAGTCCAAACAGCATTTGTCCATTATCGTTGGAGAGGGAAGAAAGAAGGAAATTGCAGCACGTTCGTCATTGATTACGATTCTTGACCATATCCGATAACGTCTCAAACCACCAATTCGAGCTATCTCTTGAGCCCCAACGAGGGAGTCGTAACGCGCCAACCGATGCTAATCTACCACAATCATCTTTCATTCCACGATGTCACGTCATGGGCTGATCACCTCTCCACTTTTCTCAACCCCTATCCAGGGCTAGCGGAGAGAGACTTGTACGTAAACCTCTGGGATAACATTCTCATCACATGTCCAAGCCACCGAGGTCGGTGTTACCAGATGACGACACTCAATGAATGGTGATCTCCACTGTGTTTAAACTTACGCCGCCAAACCTCAGAATTACTCACACGAAGATGCTATGGAACGCAAGCAATCCTGAGGGAACAGCAATGATCGAATACGCAGAGTCGCCGCAAGTCTTCAGCTCGGAGAGGCTAGGTTTCACAGGCAAGACAACCCGCACCGAAGTATTGTATACCTGACATTTGACAGCCAGGCTGACGTCGCGACGGCGTCAGAGATGGCTCAATTTAACGTGTGCCACCCTAGCTTTCATGATGCGGTTGGAAATATCATCTGTTACCTGTGGAAACTTCAAAGTTCAAGTTTGAAGCTGTATGCTCCGTTTGTAGCTCAAAGGAAGTAAAGAAACTCGTTAAACAGTGAAGAGTAGATGCAAAAATACCAGGAATCATCAATATTAAGTAAAAATTCTTTCTCTTTTGTATGTATTTATCGAAAGTGTAGATATAATAACATTTAAAAAAAAAACAATAGTTCGCCTGAAAAATATTCACTTTATAAACAAAAGTAAATGAAAATAATATTAATAAAGTTTATTATAAACAAAAAAAGGGTGTATAAATTATTCGATTTTTATACAGGACAACCTTTAATTCATATACCATAATTCACCTGATTAAAGGAAAGAGTCACAATCTAGTGAGTATTTTCTCATTGGGTGTAACTGTAAATGGCGAAAATACAATCATCTTTTTTTCGATGATTGAAACTTCTATTAAATTAATTTATTTGTTTATTTTGCGTGATTAGCCATACTGTAATGGTAGAAAACGAAGACTTGGACAAGGAATGTTTATTTGCAATTTGGTATCTCTATAATAGCCAAATTGTGTACACTTTATATTCAAAGCACCATTCGCACAGATCTTCCGTATTGTGCTACTTTTTGCCTCCTACAATGATGTATGCATTTGCCTCCTCTGAAATCAAATCTATCTCCCTGCTACTTGATTTTTTTATGCCAATGAACATCTCTTTAGATAGTACTGATAAATCTTGTTAGTAGTACACACGCCCCAATACGATGTCATAAATCGACAACAATCTCTGTGTCTTCATCAAGTCATGCTTAGAAGTGTTTCTTTAACACTAGTCTTAATGTCTCAGGGTGATAATTAGATCTAACGGAAACCTTAAGCTACTGTAAGGTTCGAATCAGAAGGCTACTAATTTATGATACGCTGAGTGAAATTCTCTTAGCTTATTATATTATTATTATTATTATTATTATTATTATTATTATATCCTGTAATTCCTAGAGGAACATACGGCTTCAGCTGCGCATCTCCATTGCCTTCGGTCTTCTGCCAACTATTTCACTCCGCTCCAAGTCTGCTCACATGCTTTCATCTACTCTTCATATGACCTCCTCCAAATCACCTTTGGACGACAAACTTGCCGCTCCCCTTTCGCGTTCCACTCGAGCAATGGCTTGTCTAGTGATGTCACTTGATGGTTTCCTCAGCATATGGCCAATCCACCTCCATTTCTTTCTGCTTACTTGTTTCACAATCGGTTCCTGGTTGGTTGGCTCATTTGCAGAGATCCCTGTTTCTGATCTTTTCTTGCCAGCCATCTGACCTTAGCATTGAGCGAAGACAACTGTTAGTGAAGGTCTGATGTTTGTTTGAGGTGCTCTTTATGACGCGCCAAGTCTGATCCATCCGTATAGTAGCACTGACTTCATATTGGAGTAGAAAATCCGGATCTTATTTTTGATACTGAGTGCTGTTGACCTCCACACAGACTTAAGAGTAATGAAAGCGCAGCTTAGCAGCTATTATATCTTAAACGTTGTCGTTTCGATTCCTTCAGTTACCACACTGCTGCTTGTTTTGTTATCCATCTTGCTGAGGGTGTTTGACTTGGATGATGATCAACTGTGCTACAGAAATATAAACAGTGGCAGTAAATATTTACACATACACACATTTTGCATTAGATTACTAAAAATGAAACAGCTTTTCTGTCTGTCTGTTTTCGACATAGAACTTTGCACAAATGTGCGAAAGTTCAAGTCGCCACACTCCGTGTAGCACGCGAAGCAAGAGAAGAAAGTACAAGAAAAGCATAATAGAAACAGTGAGCAGAGGTGTGAGACAAAGGAGTAATAAAGATAAACAAAACAGTTTCATTGAAGATCATAAGTCACAGGGAGTGGATGCATCTGCGCCACTGAGAACGATTTTGAACCATGTCACTAATTTTTTCCGACGATTGGTTTTTACCGTCCCGAGGACCCCAGCCTGGAAGTCTACACCTTCCTACGTGGCTTAGACCAACTGTTGTGGATTTCATTGACTGGTGCCAAGTTTTTGTTTGACCACCGCTAGCTTTTTTCCAGCCTGACCCTATATCCGCAAACATAGCTCGTCGAGGGAGGCGATGGCTTGGCATACGTAACACATGTCCTAACCATCTCAGTCTTTGTAGCTTCACGACTTCGTCGATTGATTTCCCCTGTTTACCTAGAACTCTACGCCTAACCTCAATGTTGCTCACCTTATTATGCCACTTTACACGGGAAATAGAGCGCAGGCACCTATGATCAAAGACAGCTAGTCTTTTCATGTCTTCCACTGTCAGTGGCCAGGTCTCACAACCATCAAGGAGGACGGAGCGGACTGATGAGCAGTACACCCGCCCTTTGGTCGATAGTCGAACAGCTTTTCAGTGGCTTATGAGGACGATTCACAGTAATGAATTTACCAGTTGGTTGTATTTTTATTCCCTTGCGTTTCGAGCGGTGTGAAGTTGTTAACCTCATACCCAACATTCACTCTTTAATTGGCTTACTATCGACTAAGAGAGGTTGGGGATTGCGTTGGCTGAGGATCGAACCCTGGACCATATAGGAAGTGATTGGTGGGTATTCCAATATATATACCAATGTACAGCGTGAAGCAAATAACAGATTAATTTTTTAATGAAGTCAAATTTTAACAAGAGTAACCAAAAACGTGAAAACCCAAATTAAAATTATTTGAAGAATTCCTCAACTATTAATATCCTAGAACGAAAGCAGCAGGACCGAGATCTGATCGAATCTTAGTTATACTTCAATTACTGAGGTAAACATTTAAACCTTGTCGGTGTCTAGACTTCATCTGGGTTAGTGAGGCTGGCGGTGTGAAGACTAACAGTTCCTTGTATGAAGTAAATTAAGCCTCGATTGCAGCTTAAAGGCTTTCATTACAAAAACTTTATAAACAAAACAAGACAAAAATTTCATTAAAACATTACAAAAAAGGGTATGAAATACATTTATAAAATTATATTTGTAACATCTCAGCGAAATTGAAATGATTGATTCCAACGTTTCGTTCGGCAATCTGGTCCGAAATTCTTTAGGGAAATTAACCGAAATTAACATAACAGAGGTTTACATATAAAAGGAACATCTCTTATTTTTGAAACTTTGTCCAGTGAGCCATGAAACAGGCATCAACATGTATAATAAACAAAATAGTATGTTTATATATAAAAGGATATCTCTTGTTTCTAGTTGTTTGCCCTGTCATATGAATCATGAAACAGGTATCAACAGGTATAATAAACAAAAATTGTATGAACTGCGATCAAAATTTGACCTCAGACTCAAAATTAGTCTACTTTTCTTAAAATATACGTGTATAGGTAGTATACAATGGTATGTGTGTGTGGGTGAACAGCCGTAAAACATTTGTTAGTCTCTTCATAAGAAGACGTAGACAATTGGGAATTTGACCAAGTATGACTAATTGTTGATACATATCCAAATTTCATATATTAGTCAGGATTTGCCATGCATCAGCTAACATCAAACCTTCACGTTTGTTCAAACTGTTGGGATTCACCCATATATGCAGGGATTCTGCTGTCAGTCAGTTTTTATTTATATGAACCAAAGCCTTTCTGTAGGACCTTAGTCTTATCAAAGTCGATTTTGTGTCCCGTTTCTATCGAATGCAGTGCAATTGCTGAGTTGTTTTCTATCTTCTTTTAGTCTCCAGTGGTCTTTAGAACCACCTTTAGACATTGTTTATGCTCTTTAACTCTTATATTTACCTGTCTGGAAGTCTCTCCTACATATACTCGGCGTTACAATCTTCACAATTGATCTTGTACACACAATTCTGTTGGTTTTCTTGTTCTATTTTATCCTTAACCTTCACCAGTGATGAGCGTAAGGTGGGTTAGTTGCACGAAAATGCACTCTTATGTTATGTTCGTTAAGGATTCGCTTTATTTCATCGGATGTTTCGTTGCGGTAAGGAGCCACCGCTATACTAACCCAATTCTTAGCAGCAGGTTTCGATTCATCCTTATCTTGACATTTTAAATATCTTTTTATGAAGGCTTTAGGATAATTATTTGATTCAAGAGTGGATTGAACCAATTTTAGTTCATTGCTAATGTCTTCCTCCTCAGTAACTAGACATTTGGCTCTGTTAATCAGATTCTTGGCCACAGTTACTTTGGTGGTAAATGGATGAGCTGAATGGTAATCTAGGTATCTATCCGAATTTGTCGGTTTTCTGAAAACGTTTATTTTAAATTTGCCATCTAGTTTTCTTTTTACTAAACAATCCAGGAACGCCAACTTATTCTCATCGGATTCAACCTCTTTGGAAAACTTGATAGTTTCTGACATATTGTTTATTAAGTGAAAAAGTTAATTTAACAAACTGCGTTTGATTATGACGAAGGTATCATCCACGTATCTTAAGCACATCTTTGGAGGACTAGGGCATCTCATAATTGTATTTGTTTTTAATGTGTGCATAAACAGATTAGCGACTAGCGTAGATACTGGTAATCTCATAGCAATGCCTTCTGTTTGACGGTATGAAATACAGACGATGATGGATCATTATTCAAATTTAGTCTGATTAATTTACAGAATAAACAGTGTGGCGGTAAATAATTCCTCAAAATTATTAGTTTATACCTTTTTACTGGACAGAGCATAGAATAACAGTTAAATCTCTACCTCAACTTTATCGACTGTGGAAAGACCTTCGTCAGCGTTGACTGTGAAATAATTTGGAAACTATTTCAAAACTGTGGATTGCCCCAAATCTTTATCAACAGATATACAGCAATGCTACATGTCAGACAATTCACAACGAAAAACTCAGTGAAGGTATGAGTATGACAAGAATGCCTGCTGTCACGGATAATACTGCTTATTGGGGTGGAGTGGATCACGAGAAACACTGTAGGGTGACAGAAAGGAGGAGGCATACATTGATCCGACAAGAAGACTTTAGAAGATATGGACTTCGCAGGGGATTTACTTCTGAGGTTACGCAAACACTAAGGTTCACAGACAAGAATCAGTACGTGGGCAGAAGGAGCAGCGAAAACTGGACTTCAAGTGGGCCTAGAGAAGACGAAGGTGATAAGGATATCTAACCATCGCCACCAACAACAAACACCAGTCAGTATAAACGGAATAAATTTGAATGGGTTCACT